TGGGGGTGGGGTGTGTGGCCTTATGACACACTTCCAGTGATGTCAGGGGGTGTGGCCTTATGACACACTTCCGGTGATGTCAGGGTGTGTGGCATATGCTAATGAGTTATGCTAATGAGTTCCCCTAGCTCTTTTTCTACAAAACGACCCCTGCTAAGGACACAAGAAGAGCCCTGCTGGATCAGAGCTGTATAGGGTTTCCAACTCTGGGTTGGGAAATTCCTGGAAATTTGGGGGGGGGGCATGGCGAGGGTGGGGCTTTTGGAGGGACTTCAGACAGGTACAATGCCATAAAACCCACCTTCCAAAAGCAGCCGTTTTCTCCAGGGAAACTGATCTGTGTATCCTGGAGATCGGCTGTGATTCCTGGAAATCTCCAGCCACCACCTGGAAGTTGGCAACCCTAGGCCAGTGGCCACCTAGCCTAGCATCTTGTTTCACTCGGTGGCCAACCAGTTCCTCCGGAAGTCCAGCAACAGGGCACAGAAGCCAAGGCCTTTCCCAGTGTTGCCTCCTGGCACTTGGGATTCAGAGGTTTACTGAACATGGAGGTTCCCTTTAACCACTGTGGCCAGTAGCCACTGATCCACCTGCCCTCCATGAGTCTGTCTTTTAAAGCTGCCTGTGCCTGCCGCTATATTCTCCGCCAGTGAGTTCCACATTTTAAATACTTGCTGTGAAAAGAAGTATTTCCATTTTTGGATGAGACGGTGTATGGTTTCTAGAATGGAAACGATACACCGGCGCACCTTATTAATGCACAGCAACAGGACGGACACGGCTTCTCCACTGCTCTCAATGTTCACAACAGGGCAGGTTAACACACTAAAAGGAAAGAGGTCTCTGCCCCAAGAAGCCTACACTCCATCCTGCTTGCTCAGTCTCTCGCTGGGAGTCTCTGCTCTCACACACACTTCTCTTTGCTGAAGCAACCAAGGGTGGTTGTACAGGAATGCTGCTCCAGCATCCAATCACCCTTCAAGGTCAGGCTGTCTAGTCACACTGGCTGGGGCTCGCCAGGGTCTCAGGCAGAGGTCTTTCACATCAACTGTGGCCAGATCCGTTAACTAGAGATGTCAGGGATTGAGCCTGGGACTTTCTGCATTGCAAACACATGCTCCGTCACTGGACCACAACCCTTCCCTGTACAGCTGTAGCAGCTGTTGGCTCTCCTCCCAGTAGCTAGTCACCGAAAGGTGTCTCGCAACAGTCTTTTTCATGGGGTTTTGTCTGAACTGGTATTGATTCTACAATTTAAAACGATGAGAACTGACTTTCTTCAAAGGCCCTCAATATTTAGTGGACACAGTAAATGCTCGTTTCACAATATCCGAGTATTTTTTAAAAGTATTTAGTAGCTGGCTACAGCTACTAAATAGCCACCAGCTCCATTCTTCACACCTACCGTCAATCCCAAGAACGTCCAGCAGGTCTGTCCATATTCTCCAGAAGGTATCTACCAGAACATCCACACCATACACGAATCGCTCCGTCAGTCTGGAGAAGAACTGCAAAAGGAGAGCCACAGAGTTGAACAACTTTATTCACCGGGTGATATTTTAAAAACTTATAGCGCCTGGTCTTATATACTACTTTTGGGGTGGTGGAAAGTGCCATCAAGTCACAACTGACTTATGGTGACCCTGTCGGGTTTCCAAGGCAAGAGACGTTCAGAGGTGGGTTTGCCATGGCCTACCTCCATGTCATGACCCTGGTTATTCCTTGGAGGTCTCCCATCCAAAGACTAGCCAGGGCCGACCCTGCTTAGCTTCTGAGATCTGAAAAGAAGAAGAAGAAATGCATCTGCCCAAATTTTAACACCAATTTTGGAGTTTCCCCAAAATTCTGAAGCATTACACCATTTTCATTAGAGGGGGAAATGGC